GTACATAAAAGTATTACGGTAAGATTATCGAAAACTAAATATTTTACGAGATATTTTATTTTTTATATCAAAATATGTCAGATTAAGATATAAAATAACTCAAAAAGTACTTAATAAAAAGATACTTTATTATAGTGTTTCGAAAAGCTCTCGAGGTAAGCTACAAGAGTATGCAATAAAAATAGGGAATACCATTAAAAAAAATAATGTTGAATTCCATATGACCTTGGCACGTTCACTCAAAGTCAAACCAATGAAACCATCTTATGTCTCCCTTCGAACCAAACAACTTTTATCTGAAACGTTTTTCCATATCTTTCATATTTTTTGAGATATTTGCCTGGGGCGATTAAAATGAAACACCCTGTATATTTTTTAGGTAAAAATGAAAATGAGGGGAGGCACCTCCGATGACTTTGATCTTGACATAAGTTGTCAAGATCATGACCCTGAGTAACTTTTCCTTATAACTTAATTGGCGGTCTCTTATAATTTCTGAGATATTTAAAGTTAAAGTTTGATTCGAAACAGATTTGGTTTGGGTTATACAACGCAATCTTTTTAACGATAACTATTTATAAAAAATAAGTATTGATAAAAAATTGAATATTTATATATTAATGAATACTTACCGAACAATATTTATCAACAATGAAATTTTTCTTATACACATAAGAATTCAATCCCGATCTTTTGTATTTAAACAAATCTAAATTTCTTCAAATAATACCTGATTGGTTGATCCCTATTCTATTATTTTTCCGAGATTCCGTTTTCCGAAGTTCCGACTGTCATGGGACGGCACCCTAAAGGTATGTGAAAAAATTTTAATCGTAACCATAAAGTCGTAAGCAAATCAACCAATCACAGTTAAACATTCTTGTTATGTTTTTGGAGTGCTTGATTGTGATTAGTCGATTTGCTTACGGCCTTACGATTACGACTAAAACTTTTTCATGTGCAATGGCTTTAAATGACAATCAATAAACTACGTGATTAGGAAGCTTCACGCGTTTGCGCGACATCTATGCACTCGAATCGATTCTTGAATCTGATCCGCACGAAAGTTTCCTCCGCCCGGTTCCATAGGAAAAAATGAAGAGAACGCGTGACATACAGGAATACACAGTTCATGAGCGTACTAGACAAGCCGAGACTGATATACATATATATAATAAAGCGCATATATATAGAGCGCATTATATATCATATTATTTTGTCTAGATATAGTATAAAGCCTAATACGATGCGCTTCTTCATGGTAAATCATACACATACGGCGCTGCAAAATTATTATATTAATTTATATACTGGCACTCTTGCGAAATTATGTGTCGTTGTTGTCGAAAAACAACATTTTGATACCTGACGCGAAGCAAATAAGTTTATTTGTCTTTACGCATGCACATGCAAATGCACACGCTAATAGTAATTATACATCGATCATGCAGTATATATCGATAAGAATGCAGTTGGCAACTTTCTCCGAAAGTGAAATCTCTGTTCAGCGAGAAAGTTAATAACGCGCCGCAAATAATTTAAACGCGCGTACAGATAATGCTCTCGCATGTTTTGGACATTTTTTTTCTTGTAGTTTGTTATATTTTATAAAGAATCATATCTCTGTTATATATGTTTGTATGTGTGTATAGTAATAAACTTTTTTTAAAGAAAATATATCTTTGTAGTATTATTCTCTTTTCTCAACTTTAATTGTATAGATTGTAAAGAAAGGCGTAAAATATGATAAGATGTAAATATGGTAAGATAAATTTGAAGCCCCCAAGGTTCTCTCAATAGAGAAAACGCTGTCCGTGTTTTTTAACACGAGTAAAACTATTCTAATGATCTAATGAATACTGTAAAAGAAAAGAATACTGTCAAGAAAGAGATATATATGATTTTGCAATGCATCTTGATAATATCAATGTTTGCTGCTTAAACAAAAAGATGATGATTAAGCAAATAACTTGATGCTTTCAAATTGAGAAACAACGCTTCTCGGCTTACAGAACTAAGATCGCTTTCAATATTGCAATTCTCTTGTCATTTGACAGGATTTGATTGACGAACATTGTAGAAAAATCCTGATGTATATAAAATATTCTTAATTATTCTATAAAGAAGAATGGAACAAATTAATATGTAATTAATTTTATACGAAAGATTAGTAATTTGTCGAAATCGAGAAAATTTGAATATATATATATGTATATTTAACATTATTCGCACAAGTAATCGCGAGATAAACATACGTTTCAACATCGAGCAATATATATATACAAGCGGGATACGCGCATATATGTATAGCAAATTTATATATACAATATCTTTGTAGCGCGAGTATGAAAGTATACACGAGTTTCATCGTAAACGGGAAAAAGGAGCAGGACCAGTAAAAAGTAACCCATGAGTCGTCAGTGGGCCATGGAATTCAAACGGTACGAGGGCACATTCATTTCTTCGCAAGTCGCGAATGCAACAACATCCGAGTGTGTGTGAATACGCTGTATCTGCATCTTGCATTTGCAAATCTTAATATTCGCACGATAATTCGCATAGTGATATTCAAGAATCGAGTAAGTGTCAGATACAGAATTTTCATATTAGTGTTTTTCTCTTTTCTTTTTGTTTTTAATTATTAAATCTTTTACAGTGGCCAAAGAGTCGTTCGTGTTCTCGACCATAGAGGACGAGAAGGGAGAGAAGTTGGACGAGATGTTTGGGGTGAAGCCGAGTTTCTTAAGAATATTACCCGGTCGTTGCTTGTTGCCACCGAAAATCGTCTTTTACGCGCAAAAAATACGCGACTTTACCGTATACGAGGATGACGTTTGGATGGTCTCGCATCCTCGTACTGGTAATAATGCGTAATTTTAAAGATAAAGCATAATTATATATAGGATGTTCTATAATATGTGGGAGTCACTTCAGAAATGGATTTAGCACTTTAGACTTGTATATACAATACAGGGTGAGTTTTTTAACAACAACGCGAAGCGAGGTCCACTCCACAATTGTTGTGTGGATAGGAAAGTGTATGCGTAGATGCAGTGGGTTTCGCCCCCTACGGGGGGGCTCCACTTCCGGAAGATATAATCTAACCCAAACCTATTTCTAATTTAAAACTAAAATTTGGTTTGGGTTAGGTTATATCTTCCGGAAGTGGAGCCCCCCCCCCCGTATGAGGGACGGCACCCATTGCGTCTACGCATACACTTTCCAATCCATACAACAATTGTGGGGTTGCGATGTGGGGTTTTGTATTATTTTCTTTCCGTCTTTAAAATATAACGAATAATTACATATCTTTATTACATTAAATAACTTCGAAATGCATATTTAAGTAAATATATATCCATAAGAATGAACATTAATAAAATTCGCCAGGTTAAATTCAAAGTATAAAGTTAAACACACATTTATATTGTCAACTTCATTTGTTAATAACTTTTTAATAAACAATGACCGACGGCTAAAACCTTTTGAATGTTGTTTAGGGTCACGACCTTGACAACATATGTCAAGGTCAAAGTCATCGGAGGTGTGCCTCCCCTCATCTTTATTTTTACCGAAATATTATAAATTAATTTTCGAGAGAGAGAGAAAGGGGAGGGGGAGAGGTAGAGAAAAGAAGGAGAGGGGGAGCAAGAGAGGGGAAGAGAGAGATTGATTGATTGATCTTTATTAGCTTTCTCAACTATTTGTAATACAAATCTAGTTTACATTAATTACCATATACTCTTATAACATTCGCTTAAACGGCACAATTCTTTCATTCTGCTTTATTTCAGCTGGCAAGGCGTTATACATTTTCACTCCTTTGTAAAACATACTCTTGTGCGCACTCCTTGTTCTGCGATATTTTATTGCAATATCCCAGCTTGTCGTGTTTGTCTTTCACTCTCATTTCCTACTATTTCTAATCTATTTCTTAATTGCTCCGGTAACATGTTCCTTAAAATCGTAAAAATAAATATACACACATTATAATATAGCCTCTGTTTTATGGACATAAACTGCATCGCTTCCAGCATACGCTCCACTTTGGTATGTCAATCACATTGCAATATGATCCTCATGGCCCGGTTTTGTGCTTTTTGCAATTTACTCAGCTGTGTTTCTTCCATATCAATTAACAGCGTCGCACAATACTCAAAGTGAGGCGTTATGATTGTTTTATATACAATACATCTAGTGTATGCCGATATATAATTACCTATTCTATTCAAAACACTTGTTTTTTTCCTTATTTTCTTTAGCATATAATCACAGTAGTCCTTAAATTGTATTCTATCATCACAATAATTATGCCTAAATATTTTATTATTTCCACACGTTCTATCTCAGTTCCATCCAAACATTTCAATGTAATATTACCTCGCAGTTCTTTTCTTATACTTCTGACAATCATATATTTCGTTTTTCCTGCATTTATTTTTAAATTATTTATATTCATCCACTCTTCTATTATAGTAAATTCTATATTCATTTTGCCCTTTAATTCCGCGCTGCTTTCTCCAGTTATATATATTAACGTGTTGTGCCTCTCCGGGTACAACGGGAATTTGGGGATGATCCAAGGGTTCGGCTCGTCTTAGGACTCCGAGTATCGAGAAACACGAGACAAAGATTCCGTGCAAAATGATTTATTTATACAGCTTACGTATCGTAGAGTTCGGCGTGGTGATGCTTCGGCGACGTAACAATATCGGCGCTTGCAGAATCTCACAGTTTCTTCAAGTATATGCGTCATCACTTAGTTTCGGAATACGGCCCCGAGGTACTCGTTATCTCTCTTTTTATGGTCCGAAAGTAGATGATTTTTCGGTATTAGGTCGCGATGTCTTAATTGCACATTGCAACGAATTGCATATCTTGCATTTAATCGCGGTTTTGGGAGCGCGCGCAACAGCTTACGAAGTGCTGAATTTGCGCTGTGCTCCTTTTTTACTTTTATAGGTCGTAATTATTCGATTTCGAGTTACGACAAATTCATCTGCAAACATTTTTATACTACATCCTTCTGGATAGATTTTTATTATATCATTTATATATACTATAAATAACAAAGGTCCTAGTACAGATCCTTGTGGTACTCCATATTCTGTAGTCATTATTTAGACCATTTATTATTAAATTGAACCTGCTGTGTTCTATCCTTTAAATATGATCTTAATCATTCTATAACTATTTCCCTAATTCCATATTGATATAATTTCTTCAATAATCTTTCTCTATTGTTTCAAACAAAAGTTGTAGGGTTTGGAGGGGGCCACATGATAAAAATATGGATTTGACCTTGAGTGACCTTTTTAAGATGAGATCAATGTGATCGACGTTTTCTTAAATGGAACCCTCTTTTGTTTGAAACATTTTTTCGATAAAGCTTACTTTCCGAGATATTTTACAGTTTCAAGTTAAAAAACTCACCCTGTATATGTACATATATATATTTGAAGTTCTAGAGAGAACAATCTTGTAAGCCAGCTAATACAAAATCAGAAAGAAGATTGCAATTAATTAAGATTGCAAAGCTTGCTCTTGAAACCTGTGTATATGATATATGCATATATATAAAATTGTAGAGAGAGAACAATCTTGTAAGCTAATATAAAACTAGGAAAATAATTGCAATTAATTCTATATTGCATAATGATGTTATCTAAATGTGTTTTCTCGATATTGCTTCTTGACACGGTGAAATTTTCTTCTAGGAAGTCACTGGGCGCAGGAAATGGCATGGTGCATCGGAAATAATTTCGATTACGAAAATGCTCGCACGCTTCTCATCATGCGAAGTCCTTTACTCGAGTAAGTCAATTCTTTAAATAGAGAATTAATAATTATTGTACGATAGAATCATCTCGGTAAAATTAAGTACGAGAAACCGCAATATCTCTTTATCGTTTTCTTTTCGAATCTCTTTTTTTTCCAGAGGTTCGGCTGTCATGATCAACGGAAATTATGACGAGTGGTTTACGAAACTAGGTGATTCCATCGAAAATATAACAAAGATGCCGAGGCCGCGATATATCAAATCTCATTTGCCGTGGGACTTATTGCCGAGACAGCTTCACGAAAAGAAGCCAAAGGTGAAGATACGACACGCCTAAATGGATAAATGTAACGTAACTTTTTGTATAATATATAATACTTTGCAGATAATGTACGTTGCGAGAAATCCAAAAGACACCTGTGTCAGTTTTTATCATTACTGCAGAGTATTCCATGGTATGAAAGGAAGCTTCGACGACTTCGCGGAATTGATGCTGCACGATAGTAGTGCGTTGAGTATTATACTATTGATTTGAAAAGCAGAATCATCATTACATTCAATTATCATTCAATAGATTTTCGATGCGAAACAAAAAGATATACAGGGTGTTTCATTTTAATCGCCTCAGGCAAATATCTCGAAAAATATGAAAGATATGGAAAAACGTTTCCATAATTCCCTCGTTTTCAATAACATAAATAATTCTTTTACACGGACTCCCAGGTTTACTCCCATTTATAGATTTTACTATACTATTGTTATGCCTCCGGAGAGGCACGGTAGTTAGGATCGTTTGCCGGAAGGAATTTGGGAATTCGGGATCTAGTGATTCGTATATAGCCTTTTCGGGCTATAACACTATTAATACTTTGTATATAATATAAATTAAATTTATCTGCTATATTGCATCCTTCAGTGTTGTCTAATATTTCAAAATCTATATCCTCTACTTTGCTCTTACCTCCTGGTTCGCCTCTAATTATTTCTTTTAGTGTTTTCTACATAGATGTAGGCTTTTCTTTATTAAGATCTATCATATTTTCATTATATTCTTTCTTCTTTGTCCTAATTAATTTAACTACTGTATTTCTTTCAATTTTAAACTGCAATTAATTTTGTTCCGTGTCATCATACAATGCCTTTCTATATGCCTCATCCCTTATAGCCGCTGCTTCTCTTATTTCATCCGAAAAAAAAACCACTTTTTCCTTTCCCATATTCTCGGAATTCTAAAATTTTTTCTAGGTGCTGTAGCGTCCAACGCATTTACTATACTATTAACAAATTTTTTCGCTCTCACACTGACATTCATATCTTGGTTTTTCTTTAATTTATTTTCCACGAATTTATTATACATATATTAAACTCTCTATAATTCCTAACACTAAGTTCTCTGTATTTATTATCAAGTTTATCCGCATTCAGTTCAACTTTTAGCCACGCATGGTCCGTTATTTTAGGTTCATGCATTACCTGCACTTCTATTTTATAATTAGCTAAAATTAAATCTATAATTGTCCTACTATCTTTCGTAATTCTCGTCGGTTTATTTACATATTGTTTCATGCCTAAGCTCAACATTGTCGTTTGCAGCTTCCTTGTATAAAACGAATCTAACATAATATCTATATTAAAGTTTCCTATTACCATACATTTTTCCCATATTATTATTCTTCTATTATATCCTCCAGAAATCTCACGAAATCACCATGCGATGCACTCGGTGAATGATATATTACCATTATTATTCCTCTATACAATTTTCCTTTCACTTCAATTGCAGCATACCGACAATTCGATTCTAATTTTTTCACTAATACTATTTCATATTTAACATCATCCCTTATATATAAAACAACCCCTCCTGTATTTCTATTTTCAGCATCACATCTAATTATACTATAACCTGGTATGTTCACTTCATTGTCTTCAATTTCAGCAGTCAATCTTGTCTCTGATAACGCTATGAATGCCGCATCTTTATCTTTTTGTGTTTTCCACATAGATGTAGGATTTTCTTTATTAATATCTATCATATTTTCATAATATTCTTTCTTCTTTGTCTTAATTAATTTAACTACTGTATTTCTTTCAATTTTAAATTGCAACCAATTTTGTTCCGTGTCAGCATACAATGCCTTCCTATATGCCTCATCCCTTTTAGCCGCTGCTTCTCTTATTTCATCCGAAAACCACTTTTTCCCTTCCCATATTCTCGGAATTTTAAAATTTTTTCTAGGTGCTGTGGCGTCCAACGCATTTACTATACTATCAACAAATTTCTTCGCTCTCACACTGATATTCATATCTTGGTTTTTCTCTAATTTATTTTCCACTAATTTAATAAATTCATCTATATTAAACTCTCTATAATTCCTAACACTAAGTTCTCTGTATTTATTTTCAAATTTATTCGCATTCAGTTCAACTTTAAGCCACGCATGGTCCGTTATTTTAGGTTCATGCATTACCTGCATTTCTATTTTATTATTAGCAAAAATTAAATCTATAATTGTTTTACTATCTTTCGTAATTCTCGTCGGTTTATTTACATATTGTTTCATGCCTAAGCTCAACATTGTCGTTTGTAACTTCCTTGTATAAAACGAATCTAACATAATATCTATATTAAAGTCTCCTATTATCATACATTCTCCCCGTATTATTAACTCTTCTATTATATCCTCCAGAAATCTCACGAAATCACCATGCGATGCACTCGGTGAATGATATATTACCATTATTATTCCTCTATATAATTTTTCTTTCACCTCAATCGCAGCACACCAACAATTCGATTCTAATTTTTTTACTAATACTATTTCATATTTAACATCATCCCTTATATATAAAACAACCCCTCCTGTATTTCTATTTTCAGCATCGCATCTAATTATACTATAACCTGGTACGTTCACTTTACTGTCTTCAATTTCAGCAGTCAATCTTGTCTCTGATAACGCTATGAATGCCGGATTTATTTTCTTCATAATCTGATGTTGTATCTCATCTTTATGCGCCATCAAACTTTGCGCGTTTGTATACAATATTATTTCCGCTTCCTTCTGTAGTTGCTATTTCGCATCTTCCCAGCCGGCTTTCCTCTTCTCCTCTTGTATCGCCCTTTTAAATGTTGGACATTCTGGGCTAAGGGCGTCGTGTTCATCACTTATCTTCAGGTTGTATGTTCGAATTTTAAACATACAATTTACACATTTTTTCTTTGTCGCCGTACATTCAATCGCTTTATGATTTCCTGAAGATTTGTGGCATATTTCATCTCGCGTACAATTTTTTGCAATATGATAGTATCCCCAGCATTTAAAACATTTTTTAACACTAATGTGTTTGAATATAGGACATTTTCTCCATTGTACATTTAGTTTCTCTCTTTTCAACATCAAATATAAGAAATCAAATTTAAGAAATGATGTTTATTTAGCCCCGTTGAGCCCATTTTGGAATCATGTTCTACCCTTCTGGAAGATAAGAGATCAGGATAACATATTATTTATGACATACGAGGAAATGAAAAGGGTAAGATACACAACAAAAAGCGCATTCGTTTTTGCTATCGCGATGAATCTTCGTAATAGATCAATTACTGAAACGCACGATTGTATTTTCAGGATCAGATAGCGGTGATTAAGAAGACAGCGAAATTTTTAAGCAAGAACGTGACAGACGAGCAGATCGTCGGGTTGTGCGAACACTTAAAATTTTCAAAAATGGCGACGAATCCGTCGGTGAACATGGAACTACTGCTGGGAAACAGAAAGGCGCAAGAAGAGGATCCAGATGACAAGTTTATCAGGAAAGGCAAAGTCGGCGATTGGACGAATTATATGTCGGACGATCTCGCTCGACGATTCGACGAATGGATGGAGAAGCATTTGTGCGGAACTGGCCTCAAATTTCATACAGATATTGCATCCGACGAAGAATAAAAAGCTGTAATATTTCAAATGCGGTAAACACGATATATTAAAAAAAGGGTCACATATATTTTGAGAGCATAGAATTGATCAAAACAAGAAAAAAAGGTTAATTATCATGGGTCCTATAATTAATATCTTCGAAGATACATGCTATCTTTCTATTTGAACTCTGTCCTTTTCTTATTGGTTGTGTCACCTTTACAATGCAGTAGTAAACAAAAGAGTACTTACTACTTTTGCAGTCAGCATTATCAGGGGGTGATCTACGTTCCCATTCATTGTCACGCATTTTTCAGTCCTACGTCTCAGAGAATCACTTTTCTCTTAAACATACCTGGCTTTTCTCGGATTTGCAACTTACCTACAAACCCAATGTTATTATAGCAAAACTAATAAATACTCTTTTTTTTGTTTACTACATTGTAGAGGTAACACAACCAATAAGAAAAGGATAAAGAGTTCAAATAGAAAGATAGCTTGTATCTTCGAAAATATTAATTATAGGACCTATCCTCCAGCTAACCATTTGTTTGCGGATTGTTAACAACCGGCAAATAATTCACTGCCGAACGAGGCTGCCAAATTCAGGACCTACTCGAGTGCGTCCCAATTGCAACCAAAAGTTGAAATCACATCCTGATATCAAATTGGGTGCAACACCAGAGCAAATCTGTCACTAGCAGTGCAATGACAGATTGACGCAACCACTGAACTCTATATATATGGAAAACGCCGTGCTACTCAAGATGCGGGATGACAAAGAGGGCATTGTGTGACCTTTTGTCTCTTTCTATTGTAGGCCTTCTTTTTTAATGGTAGAATCACCGTCAGAAGTCTATGATGATAGTGGTGTCGACTATATACACATACACCAGTGCAAGAGTCTAAGAAGAAAATAGACAAAGGGTCACACAATGCCCTTTTTGTCATCCTGCACGTTTACGCCAGGCTTATATGAAAGGGCGCGTTCCAGTATGTATAGAGTTCAGTGGACGCAACAAACCGAGAGTAGATTTGTCAATCGCAGATCAACAATAGATTTGCGCCAACTGCCCAGCAGATCTACAGCCATTTTTGACATCAAATTTTTGACAACAAAAATTAAATCAGTTACAGTATTAATATATAATAACACATATTAATGTGTTAAAACATATAGGTAAATTTAAATAATTTAATTTATAAAATTAAAAATTTTTTTGGACAGAAATTTTCCGAATAAGTAAAAATTGAACAATTATATGTCCGATTTTCCAAAAATCAGTTCAATATTCGAATTATCCTGTATAGGCATCGTATCAAAGTTGAACTGATAGAAATAGATATATTACAATATTATTAGTCACATTTTGCAGGCTTTATATATACTCATGACGAAAACTTGAATACAAGTATAGATAATGAATAACGTGCCGCATAGCGGTAAGCGACTGAACTATACTATTTCAAATAATAGAATTTTGTAATACTTTGTAATATTCTTCTTGGTTTTTGCTGTCAATATGCCGTCATATTGCGCACGCCAGATCTTGCTCAGTTCATGCCGACAATCTGATGTCAGTTTGCCAGTCATGTCAGCAAGCTTTGCTCGGTTTCCGCCGCCCATTTTCTGTCGGGTTATGTCAGCAAGTTTTGCTCAATTTTTGCCGTCAATCTTAATCGGTAATGACAACTTTTGTACCAAATTTATAGCCTTTTTGCTGACAATAATTTGTAACAGGCACTTGCCAAAATCTGTTAGAACAGACTTGGCTAACTGGGATGTTAATTAGACTTTTTTTTCTTGTTTTGATCAATACTACCTGCTCTCAAAATATGTGACTCTTTTTTTAAACACTCTGTATATGTATGCATTAGTTGTATTATGATAATTCTCACATTTTAGATTTATTTTATAATTGTACGATTGATTTATCGCAGTAATTTACCGTATTCAAAAAACACGCATTGCAATAGGTCTCTTAAAACGATATATAATTACAGATTCATGAAAAAAATTATACATAATAAAATTAATACATCTCTTTTTTAATTGTATACCGCTAATCAGATAATGCATACCTTGACATCATTATAATTAATTTGCTCATACTTATAATAATTAATAATTAAAGAAAGCACATAATATAGATGGAAAAATAATGAAAAAAAATACAATGTGTAATTAGGTATCCTTATATAGGGTGTCCAATAAGTAAATGACTAACCGAAAGATGGAGGTAGATTGGGTCAAACTGAAAAGAAAAATCTTGTACCATTTTTTTCTATAACGTTTAATAAAGGAGTTACTATTGAGTAAAATCAGGCCAAACAGCGCCGACCTTCAGCCGGATGCATGTCAATGAGCCGCGCGCCTGTAGTGTGCATCGCCGTAGCGGTGGAGCACTCACACATACTACGAGGCGCGCGGATCACCGACGTACGCCCGGCTAAAGGTCGGCGTTGTTTGGCCAGACTTTACTCAATAATAACTTCTTTATTAAGCGTTATAGAAAAAAATGGTTCAGAGCTTTTCGATTCACAAGGGACATTCGGCAACGCAAAAATTCAAAAAAAATCTGAGACTGCATAATTATAGAATAGCAGGTCCTAATAACGAAACAATTTTTTGTTGATGTTAAAAAACGGTTTTAAGGGTGAAAACAATCCCTTAAAAAATCGGATTTTACATTCCAAAGCGAATATCATCAAAACGAAAAGAAATATGAAAAAATTGTTTAAATAAAAGTTAAATGACTAACCGAAAGATGGAGGTAGATTGGGTCAAACTGAAAAGAAAAATCTTGTACCATTTTTTTCTATAACGTTTAATAAAGGAGTTACTATTGAGTAAAATCAGGCCAAACAGCGCCGACCTTCAGCCGGATGCATGTCAATGAGCCGCGCGCCTGTAGTGTGCATCGCCGTAGCGGTGGAGCACTCACACATACTACGAGGCGCGCGGATCACCGACGTACGCCCGGCTAAAGGTCGGCGTTGTTTGGCCAGACTTTACTCAATAATAACTTCTTTATTAAGCGTTATAGAAAAAAATGGTTCAGAGCTTTTCGATTCACAAGGGACATTCGGCAACGCAAAAATTCAAAAAAAATCTGAGACTGCATAATTATAGAATAGCAGGTCCTAATAACGAAACAATTTTTTGTTGATGTTAAAAAACGGTTTTAAGGGTGAAAACAATCCCTTAAAAAATCGGATTTTACATTCCAAAGCGAATATCATCAAAACGAAAAGAAATATGAAAAAATTGTTTAAATAAAAGTTTTATGGTTTCAAATATACTTTACAATGGCGTATCTGGATTTTTCAGAAAAAGTAAAATTTTTTTAAATACCCTCATTATTCATTATTTCTTTTCAATATTTAAAAAAAATTATATTAAAGCTTATGTTATACCGAATTCTATCATGTATGATAAAGTTATGTTGCGGAAATTAATTTATAAGAAATAAAATAAAGACGCACGCTACTGTTACGTCCAGATTCGAGGAAGGATGAGTCAATGGAAGGGAATGGAAGCAACCACTATCTTTATGATCCCGAAGTCAAACGTCTCGTGGCGTTAGAATCGGGTCGAACGAACTTGACGGTCCGAAAATCAGGTAAACGATCGTTCGGATCGCTATTACACTGTTTTTCGGAAGTTCGCTCGGCGGTCCCTTTTTGGTAAGAGAATTTAATCTCTTTTACGCGGGATGGGACCAAGTGCGATCTTCGAACTGGGAATGAGAGGGGGTTAATAAAGATTTGATTTAAATTAAAAATATAAATTTATTCATAATAAATTAAATTACGTTGGTATACATACATTTATTATATCGAGAAAAAAAAGTTATCTTGATATGTGTGAATGTGTGTGTGAGTGGTTATTTGTTTGCGGGTGTTACATTCATACGGAGGACATCAGTCAGAATGATGAGGCAAGATTCTATTGTTAACATTAAACTTCTGACTGGTTATTACAAAAATATATCTGTAAAAAAAAGAACAATTTGTGTGAGTGAGAGTGTTAAGGAATACTAGGAGTTTAGTTTCATGATTCTAGGATTGGTAGGATAATTCGTCATCGAAATCAGGGAGTTCATTACAAAACTCTTCCAATGCTCTCTCGAATTCGTCTGATTCGAGAGGAGAAAAAGGAGAAGGTAAAGATTGATAGGAGAATTCGGCCTCCAAATCAGGGAGTTCGTTGCAGAAATCCTGCAATGCCTTCTCGAACTCGTCTAATTCGGGAGGAGGGGAAGGAGGGAATGAATTGCCAAGGACGATCATGGGTAAGGAGGAGAATGATCGGAGGGAAAGCGGCGGTTCAGGAGAAGGGGGTTCAGAAGTATATATCGGAGAGTAGCTAGGGGAGAAGTGATAAGGGGAAAAAGGAAAAATTGTATGTTCAATGGCTGTTTCTATGTGTGTGCTTAATAGGTAATCACTACTACTAGTAGTTACGGATGAATATGCGGAAGTTTGAATTTTCCGACTTCCGGAATGGACTCGCTTTATGGCGATAGGTCGCAAGTTGTAAATTTTTCCCGATCTGGTTCTCACTACGGAACCAGTGACAAACGTTATTTATTGCGGGGATTTATAATATAATTAAAACTGAATAATTGGAGACTTACTTTTACTGATGAATTGCGATCGAGTAGTGGTAGATTGAGATTGCTGGTAAAACTTGACGCTTTTCGCTTGGATGTACTGCGGTATTGCTGTGCGGTTACTAGGTTGCCTTGGAGACGACGCCAATACGAGGACACTGATTTTGAACTGATCACTTTTTCTTTCTGATTACGACTTTTACTCTTTATATTATTCACGCACACGAGACTGATTGAAGTTGAATCATAAGTGCTCGAGTCTTACGAGTTCTTTCTTTCATAATTCCCTTTTTGAGGGCGTCTTCTTATTTTTAAAAGTAGGGATTCTTCAAGATTTTAACGAATTAGAATCGTGCCAATGTCCTCATTCGGCAGGGGGTGTCTCCTATTTTCATATTTTTACCCGTGCTAATCGTCGGTTGGTGAGCTCGATATCAGTTCAGAAGTTCCTTAAACATTAGCTTTTCCCAGCGGACCGTCGCGTGCATGATCTGATTAGAAAAAGATTTTACTTCTTTATAATTATTTTTGTCGACGTTGATGCAGCTGTATTTATTAAATATTTCGTCAAGGAGATTTTATCGTTATTGATCCGGTTGTTTGTTAAAAAGTTCTTATTATCTCCTTGTTCTTCCGCCGGAAAATTCTACTGCAAGGGGTATCTATTATTTTTTATTTATCTCGAAGAGACCAGCGTGGTTTCCATCACCGATTTCCTTGCGTCTTTCCCACGGATACTCGTGGATGTAGTTACTGACAAATGACAGTGTTTAAAAGAAACGTATGGCGCAAGATGCTTTGTTTATTGAACGATTCATTTTTATCACCAACTGACGATCGTTACCGCAACGTCGTGGAAGGAAGGAATCGTGGAATCGACGTAACACTACCTGCACTAATCTTATTCGCTCGCTGTTTCATGACGACTTATCTTTTTTTTCTTTTCTTCATAAGGTCTCGCAATACAACGATGCTGAATATTAGTCATAATATTTGTAGCCCAGTTACGTAAATAATCTTTCTATACTACATATATTATATCATAATAATATAAAAAACGGAATGAAAGTCTTGTAATATTTAAATAATATTAAAAATTATAATTTTAAACAATTATAATTTGAAAATAATATTTTGCAAATTAAATTTCAATTCAAGATATAGAAGTATAATAATATTAGAAAAATGTTTAAATGTTTTATAAAATTTTTCCATCAACAAAATTTAAATTAATTATAAAATTAAGTTAATTTTAAAATTAAATTAAATAAATTATCAAAATATTATTTATTCTATGTAATTGTTACAATAATGATACTGTTCAAAGAAATGTTCAAAACAAAAATATTCTTTGCACCATATACAACGTACAAAAGCCATTTTACCACAAATACTGCATCTTGGTATGTTTTTTTCTTTAAAATATCAAAAATTTATTATCAAATTTTTCAGGCCGCGTTGATAAATATCCACTTTTATACTAACTATATTTAAATACATTTTGAAATCTTGGAGAAGAAAGTTGATTATGTGTTAAACTTTGTAGTTTTATTATATTATTACGTGAATGTAAATTTATGTTATAATTATTTAAAATAATATTATCAGAAAAGCATCGCACCAAATTTTTCCAAATTCTAAAACAGAAAACATCTAAAGGTTGTACAAAAGCAGTTGTTTTTTTTTGGTATTGTTAAAATATTTACTTGTTTGTCTGCTAGTATAAATTTTTTAAATTGTTCCCGACAATATCATGTTCATGAATTAAGCAGTAGCAGACTTTTTTCTCCAGTATTTCGTAAATATACTTCTCCAAACCAGTTTTTGAAATATTGGCTTGTGAATTTTCTGGATTTTGTAGCCGCAATGTAAACATTAATAAGTCTAAAAAAAGTTTCTTCTACTCGTGGTCCAAATTTTCCACTAGATTCTTTTAGTACTATATACAGAGATGAAAGAAGATGTCCATCTGCAAATATAATGGGCATAATGATATAGCTATGAGTCATAGAAGATAAAGATTGAATAGTAGATTCGATTTTTTTTACTCCCACATTAGTTAATGTTTTTCCAGAATGTATTTCTAAATTAAATCTGCTTTCATCTGTATTATAAATTGATCCTGCACCGATTACATCAATATGTGGTTTAATCTGTCTCACAAATTCCTCTGCACTTTGACTTATTGTTATATCAGCTGCATGAGAAGATCGGGTTTTGAAACTTGTTATTTTACGTGATACAATGCAATGTGTTTTTTTTTAAATTTCATATCCACCAATTTCATGCTCTAAATGAAGGAAAGTCTATTTGCTTCTTTGCTTGTAATATCCATTTTCGCAAATTTCTGTCGTGAATGATAGATCCCCTATCAATAGCTTCTTAGAATTGCTTTAGTAGATATTCGGCAATAAATACAAGTTTGTCCCTGTTTGACCCTCCGCGCATTATATTTTCTTCCCATCTATGCAATTGCAACACAGATTTTACCTAAAAGAAAAGAAGTTTGATATTTAGAAAATCTAATTCAAAAATAAGAAGACTAACGAACTAACGCAGATAAAGGTAGATAAACGATCGCAGATATGCGATGTAAGTAATGTGTATAAGTCTGAAACATCTTTCTGTTTCCGTTATCGTTTATTACCTACTATTTATACACAACGCACATCTACCTGCTCGTTCAGCTTGTATTATTTTTTTATGTTTGAATTAAATTTTACCTTTCTAAAACGATTCTGTCCAGCAGTAATAAATAAATGTCCTTTTTTTCCACTGTTCCAAGATTTAACTGCTTTTCTTTTGTAATTTAAGTTTACATTTCCACCTTCGTTATCCAATACAAATTTCGTCTTTATAATTATCTTCTTCAGCATCAATATCATACACGTCCACAAATTCTACATTGTGCGGTTCCGACGGATCGTCAAAATCATTATCTCATTTGTATTCAATCGCAACATCATCATTTACAGCATTTTTTTATTAGATCGGAAATGGCATCATGAAGTTCAACTTCACGGTAATTAATAGGTAAGACAGCAAAATTTGCAAAGTTAAACATTGTGATTAATAAATTTATAACATTTGCTATATTTATTCTTGGCATTTTAACACAAATTGTTGTGTTGTCACCAGCACAAGAGGTTCGTCTCCCATGAGGAGTTAATTTAAAAAATCATCTCTTGGGTTTATTTTATATATAAAACTTAAATTTATATAGAACTCACAATCGGAATAAATTTCAGTTAACTTCAATCGTACAATAATTGTTTAAATAACGTCAGACGACGAGTGAAATGCGGAAACGTACGGCTTTTATATCCAAATGAAAATAACATTTCGATAAATATTATGGCGTGATGTTTAAGATCAAATTTCATTAACAGATTGATATTAAAGTGAAAAATAGTTTACGCAATGTAATTATATACACAAACAGCATATGTGTCAGAAAGATCTCTTTAAGATATCATTTTAAAGAGGGCCTGCGTGCTCCAATGATTTGTTTCTAGGGACAGTGTAGCCAGTCTACGGCGAACGTCCCCGAAAAAGGCGAACGTGGTTTGACCCTTGGTAGAAAAAGTCCATCTGGTCTGCCACATGTTTGTCGCCTCTACCCAAATCTCATCAAACGCGGTTTGCTTTCCTATTTCGGCGGAGATTTCTACATTCCCGATCTTGGCGTTTTTCCATACTCTAATTTGATAACGCGCGATACTTTCTTTTAATAATAGGTCGACTGGCATCGCTCCCGCGACGACACAGAGCGATTCCCACGATGCCGTGCGATATGCGCCGGTAATCGAAATAAGGACCCGGCGCTGCAAGGCTTTTAAGATCCTAGCATCACTCTCCGTACACAGGTCGGCCCACCCCGCAGCAGCATAAGCCACTGTTGGTGCGAACACTCCCCGGTAAATTGCGGATAGTGCCCTAAATCTTAGGCCCCAATTGGCCCTCGCCAACGCGCCTAGTTTTTGGAAGAGCATCCCGGTTTTGCTCTTTAAATATTCGCAGTGAGTTCGAACTTTTAAAAATTTATCTATGTAAACGCCAAGATATTTGACGGTCTGTTTGAACCCTATCTTCGTGCCTCTAATCTTTATTATAGGCGGCCTACTTTCGAGAGTCACGATCTTTTTATTGTTTTTACGCTTCCTATCCGGTCGTGCTCCTCCCCGTCTACCTATATGGTTCCTATTTATCGCGGCGCTTTTCAATATAATAGCCTCAGTCTTACGTTCGGAGATCTGAAGCTTCGCGGACTCGCACCAATCTACGATCGCGTTGACCACCCGTTGGCCTTCTAATTCAACTTCGTTTCGCGAATTACCGTTCACCACAACAACGAGATCATCCGCGTACGCGGCGAACCGATTTTTGATCAAGCCTTCTAGGAGCCGCAAAAGGCCGTCGAACATGAGGTTCCAACAAGCCGGACCGAGGACGGAGCCCTGTGGGCATCCCCTCGTGGCCCTTTTGGACACCTCCGTAGATCCAAACGTGATTCTAACTTTACGGTTATCAAAATAACTCCGGAGTACCTCGAAAACGTTTCACGGACAACCACGTTCTTTCAGACTAGCTAGTACAAGGGGCCACCAGACATTATCAAAAGCCCCGGAGATGTCGAAGAGAAGCGCCACGGCATACCTCTTTTCAGAGGCAGAGACCATACGCCGCAACTCCATCCTCCGTTCCTCCGTCGACCTTCCGGGCATAAACCCGAACTGTCGATCGGAGACCCTACCCGGTGCCAATGAAGTGTCCATGAGGCGGGTTTTGAGAAGTTTCTCGAAGTGTTCCTACTACGGAGAGGAGACAGATGGGCCTATAGGATTTCGGATCCTTCTCGTCCTTGTCCAAGTGATAGAAAAGGGGGCGTGTGTATGTGTATATGTATATGTGTGTTGCTACATATGAGCCATTTGGTCAATCTGACACCGACTCGTAGCTATGCTGTGTTCAAGGATGGGTGAAAGCGACAGAGTAGACAGATCATTGAAAATGTTAGTAGTGAAAGTGTTAGTGTTGTTAATTGAAATAAAGTATAGAGAGGGGAAAGAAGTGATAGAAAAGGGGGCGTGTGTATGTGTATATGTATATGTGTGTTGCTACATATGAGCCATTTGGTCAATCTGACACCGACTCGTAGCTATGCTGTGTTCAAGGATGGGTGAAAGCGACAGAGTAGACAGATCATTGAAAATGTTAGTAGTGAAAGTGTTAGTGTTGTTAATTGAAATAAAGTATAGAGAGGGGAAAGAAGTGATAGAAAAGGGGGCGTGTGTATGTGTATATGTATATGTGTGTTGCTACATATGAGCCATTTGGTCAGCAGTGCTGACACCGACTCGTAGCGTTGCATGCTGTTTTAGGAAGAGAAGGAGATAAAACAAGGGAAGAAAGGGAGAAGGAGAGAGAGTAAAGAGGGAGAGAGATTGTGTATGTGTGTGTGTGTCGCTACATAAGAGCCATTTGGCCAGCAATGCTGGCACCGACTCGTAGCATTGCATGCTGTTTTGGTGAGAGTTGAGAGAGAACGAAGGCGATTGGAGAGAGAGAACAAGGACAGTAAGCGTGTTGTTAGTTGTAGTTAATAGAAATAGTGAAATAGTGAAATAGTGAATAGAAAGTAGAGAAGCAAGAACGAAAGAATGAAAAGTAGAGTATAGAGATAGAAAAGTAAGAGTAATAGCGATAGTACGAAAAGGAGAGAAATATGGTTGAGGGGGAGCTTTTGGCTCGGGAGGGAAAAGAGTAGAGTGACGAAAGAAGAAGAAAAGAAGAGTGTTAGCAATGTTAGTAAGATATAGTTAAGAAGGGGTGATAGAGAAAGAGAGAGAAGGGTGGCTTTCCCAAGGGTGAGGAGACCTGAAAAATAAAAGAAAGATTAGTGGCCACCGGTTCCGTCGCCGCTGGGACCGAGGTCTCAGAAGCGCAGGGCCCGGTGGGTGAGTACAGCAGCTCCTGTTCCTCTCCACTGTACCGAGGTACAATAGAGACGAACGGATGGAGATGGGCTGCCGGGAGATTGAATGTAGGAGGGATGGGAAAGCCGAGTACGGGGACGTGACCTCAGCTACCGTAGATTCCACACCTCTTAGAAGTGCGTCACCCACGCCGCCGCAGTCACGTCCCACCAACGCATCCATGTGCGCTTGCTACATATGAGCCATTTGGTCAATCTGACACCGACTCGTAGCTATGCTGTGTTCAAGGATGGGTGAAAGCGACAGAGTAGACAGATCATTGAAAATGTTAGTAGTGAAAGTGTTAGTGTTGTTAATTGAAATAAAGTATAGAGAGGGGAAAGAAGTGATAGAAAAGGGGGCGTGTGTATGTGTATATGTATATGTGTGTTGCTACATATGAGCCATTTGGTCAATCTGACACCGACTCGTAGCTATGCTGTGTTCAAGGATGGGTGAAAGCGACAGAGTAGACAGATCATTGAAAATGTTAGTAGTGAAAGTGTTAGTGTTGTTAATTGAAATAAAGTATAGAGAGGGGAAAGAAGTGATAGAAAAGGGGGCGTGTGTATGTGTATATGTATATGTGTGTTGCTACATATGAGCCATTTGGTCAATCTGACACCGACTCGTAGCTATGCTGTGTTCAAGGATGGGTGAAAGCGACAGAGTAGACAGATCATTGAAAATGTTAGTAGTGAAAGTGTTAGTGTTGTTAATTGAAATAAAGTATAGAGAGGGGAAAGAAGTGATAGAAAAGGGGGCGTGTGTATGTGTATATGTATATGTGTGTTGCTACATATGAGCCATTTGGTCAGCAGTGCTGACACCGACTCGTAGCGTTGCATGCTGTTTTAGGAAGAGAAGGAGATAAAACAAGGGAAGAAAGGGAGAAGGAGAGAGAGTAAAGAGGGAGAGAGATTGTGTATGTGTGTGTGTGTCGCTACATAAGAGCCATTTGGCCAGCAATGCTGGCACCGACTCGTAGCATTGCATGCTGTTTTGGTGAGAGTTGAGAGAGAACGAAGGCGATTGGAGAGAGAGAACAAGGACAGTAAGCGTGTTGTTAGTTGTAGTTAATAGAAATAGTGAAATAGTGAAATAGTGAATAGAAAGTAGAGAAGCAAGAACGAAAGAATGAAAAGTAGAGTATAGAGATAGAAAAGTAAGAGTAATAGCGATAGTACGAAAAGGAGAGAAATATGGTTGAGGGGGAGCTTTTGGCTCGGGAGGGAAAAGAGTAGAGTGACGAAAGAAGAAGAAAAGAAGAGTGTTAGCAATGTTAGTAAGATATAGTTAAGAAGGGGTGATAGAGAAAGAGAGAGAAGGGTGGCTTTCCCAAGGGTGAGGAGACCTGAAAAATAAAAGAAAGATTAGTGGCCACCGGTTCCGTCGCCGCTGGGACCGAGGTCTCAGAAGCGCAGGGCCCGGTGGGTGAGTATCGACAGCCCCTGTTCCTCTCTACTGCACCGAGGTACAATAGAGACGAACGGATGGAGATGGGCTGCCGGGAGATTGAATGTAGGAGGGATGGGAAAGCCGAGTACGGGGACATGACCTCAGCTACCGTAGGTTCCACAACTCTTAGAGGTGCGTCACCCACGCCGCCGCAGTCACGTCCCACCAACGCATCCATGTGCGCTTGCTACATATGAGCCATTTGGTCAATCTGACACCGACTCGTAGCTATGCTGTGTTCAAGGATGGGTGAAAGCGACAGAGTAGACAGATCATTGAAAATGTTAGTAGTGAAAGTGTTAGTGTTGTTAATTGAAATAAAGTATAGAGAGGGGAAAGAAGTGATAGAAAAGGGGGCGTGTGTATGTGTATATGTATATGTGTGTTGCTACATATGAGCCATTTGGTCAATCTGACACCGACTCGTAGCTATGCTGTGTTCAAGGATGGGTGAAAGCGACAGAGTAGACAGATCATTGAAAATGTTAGTAGTGAAAGTGTTAGTGTTGTTAATTGAAATAAAGTATAGAGAGGGGAAAGAAGTGATAGAAAAGGGGGCGTGTGTATGTGTATATGTATATGTGTGTTGCTACATATGAGCCATTTGGTCAATCTGACACCGACTCGTAGCTATGCTGTGTTCAAGGATGGGTGAAAGCGACAGAGTAGACAGATCATTGAAAATGTTAGTAGTGAAAGTGTTAGTGTTGTTAATTGAAATAAAGTATAGAGAGGGGAAAGAAGTGATAGAAAAGGGGGCGTGTGTATGTGTATATGTATATGTGTGTTGCTACATATGAGCCATTTGGTCAGCAGTGCTGACACCGACTCGTAGCGTTGCATGCTGTTTTAGGAAGAGAAGGAGATAAAACAAGGGAAGAAAGGGAGAAGGAGAGAGAGTAAAGAGGGAGAGAGATTGTGTATGTGTGTGTGTGTGTCGCTACATAAGAGCCATTTGGCCAGCAATGCTGGCACCGACTCGTAGCATTGCATGCTGTTTT